ATTTGCGGGCCCTGGTGACGGGGGCCCCTCTGGGCGTTTTTTGGCAGTTCTAAGGGTTTCCCTTCTATATCTTTAATAGACCGGCACTCATTGGCCCAATGCCTGCCTTTCTTACACTTAGGGCACAACCCAGGGGTCTTTTGGGTTGTTTGTTCTGAAGCTGGGCTCCTACACTCTCTCTTTATATGTCCTAATTTCCCGCATTGAAAGCATTTGATACTTCTGTTAGTGATCCTGGCTTGTTTGTGGCTCTGTAATATGGCCGCGGCTAGGCCCGCATTGGTGAGTGGCCCTCCTATTTCTCTACAGGCTTTCAACCAGGCATGTATCCCTTTTTGTTTCCAGGGTGTTATCGCCTGTCTGCATTCCTTGGTACATTGTTCAAATACTAATTGCTCCACTAGGGGCATTGCTTGTTCCTGATCTCCAAATATTCTGCCTGCGGCCTCCATCATACGAGCGACAAAGTCAGAAAATGGCTCGCTCAGCCCCTGAATAATTTTTGTCAAATTGCCTGATACTTCTCCTTTGTTGGTGAGGGCTTTCCATGCCTTGGCGGCGCACGTGTTTATTTGTGCATATACCTGTAAGGGGAAGGCGGTCTGGTCGGCTACCCACTGTCCTTGGCCCGTCAGCATATCATATGACCACGCAGGCTGTCCTTCGGCCGCGTTTGCGCGTGCCTGGGTCATGCTGATATCATGCCACAATGCCTTCCATTCTATGTATTGCCCCATACTAGAAAGGCATGCCTTAGTTACATATTGCCAGTCTGCGGGTGTCATGGCTGTCTCTGTTAATCTCTCAACTTGTGCTATGGTATAGTTGGCACTGACCCCATACGCTCGGACGGATTCCGCTAAGTCTTTAACTTGTTTATGACTCAGGGGTTGGTGAGAGCGTACACCGTTATCCTCAAATACAGGAAACATTTGTCTAATTGCCTGAAGAGTATCTGGGTGGCAAAAGGAGAGTGCGCCACTCACGTAAGGTGGCGGGGCAACGGGCGTCGGGGGACACCCTGCTTTCATTTTTTCCTTGGTCCGCTTTTCAACTTTGCTGGTTCCCTTACTTCTACACTCTGCGGTTTTATTTTCTTCCCCTTCCTCTGCGGACGTTAATTCCTCCTCAGATTCCCTATTGGAGAGTTGGAGGTCCCTCAACTCTTTCCAGGGGTATTTACTATTTTCTCCGAGGCGATCGTCACTCGCTTCTCGGGGCTCTTTCGCTTTTGCCCTAGGCGGGCTTTCTCCCTCACTCTGAGGTTTCTTTACCTTCGTTTTTGTGGCCTTTTTTCGGCCGCGCGCGCTCTCTGTTTCCCGTTCCGTTTCTGACATGCTCTCTTGGATATCTGTCAATGCTCTCTGACCTTCTTTTATTACCTTTTCACATCTCTCATCTTGCAGACAAGCTCTAATCAGTTTCCAGAGGGGCCTGGTGCCTCCCCTCAGGCTACCCTCCTCCTCCTCTCTATCAAGATCTTTCCCCAGTTTGTCCCAGCTCGGGATTGAGAGGGACCCTGAACAAATGAACCAGGGGGCCACACGGTCTATCTCCTTCACAAAAGATCCTAAGACTTTGCTGGAGACCTTCAAGTTTCGCTCTTTGAGAGCTGTCTGCAGCGCCGTGACTAATGACGGTGCATTCCCCATGGTGCCTCCTTATTTACAGAGAACCATCAACCATCATCCTAAAAAGCAGGGGCCTCTCGGAACTTACCCCTCCGGGCTTTCTTCTGACCTGCAGTTCTGAATCCTCTCCAGATGTCTGAAGGGTCCTCCCTGTGCCGGTGATGTTCTGGTTCCCGGGATTCGGCACCACTTGTCGCGTGCCCTGTCCTCGCCGGCAAGAACAGCATGCAACAACAGCAGGATTCTTCTGCAGAAAGCTTTATTCTTCAGCTCTTTGTGAAACAAATGAGTTGGGCAGGACCCAGAGGGGAAGGAGAGGCTTGCTTATATAGTTCTCATGCTCTGACCTGGTTGGTGCGGCTCCATACGCCTTATTAGCATAACCATTTGGTGGGTCTCATTGGTCCTTATGCCAAGGCGCAATTAGCATGTAGTTTAGTGGTGTGGGATGATTTGTCATTAGGAAGTTCAGGGCCTTCCGGCTGCCCTGCATTGGGCGCTATTTTCTGAGCGCGGCTGCCAACAGTAATGACACTGGTGTAGTCTTTTTGTGAGGTACTGCATTGAAAAGATGTTCCATAATGTATCTATCCAGACTTCTGCTGATTGTTTCAAACAACATTGCAACAAATTGACCTGGAACATCCTCCTTTGTACAAATTCGTAACCATGTGTGAAGTACAGTTGCTTTATCAAATGGTACATGTATTGAAACTTTATGATACCGCCTTTCAAGGGATTATTCCACCTTTACCTCCCTGGGTGCCTGCCTCCCCAAAGGTTTGTGCTATGTAATTACTTTTAAAAGTGTGTGCAGTAGTTTCCTCGGCTGCCGTAACAAATCACCACCAACTGGGTGGTTTTAAAACAACAGAAATCTGTTCTCTCACAGTTCTGGAACTAGAAGTCTGAAACTAAGGTGCCGACACGGTCGGCTCCTGCTGGAGGTCCTGAGGGAGAAACAGCTCCGTGCTTCTCTCCTGGATCCTGGCGGTTGCCAGCAACGCTTGGCTTGCGGATGCTTCACACCAGTCTCTGTGTCCATGTCTATACGGCCTTCTCCCCTGTGTCTTTCTGTGTCTCCATATTGTTTTCTCTTCTTTATTCCAGCTGGCAGTGTTTCTGCAGAGATGGTTGTCCAGGCCCACAGGTAGCACACCTAATCTCTCCAGCACAGCCTTGTCTAACCACATGCCTGGTACTCTTGCCAGAGCACACTTTCTCATCTTTTGGATACAATGAAAATATTCAAAATCTTCAGGTTCTGGTTCCTTTTTTGCTTTACAATTCATTCCTCAATTTACCTCTTTCTGCTTACATTTTTCTATAAGCAGGAGAGAGAAATCAGGCTGCAACCTTCCACACGTTGCTTGGACATCTCCTCACCTACATACACAAGCTCACCTCTTGCGATTTCCACTTCTTACCTGAAAACAGAACACAATTCAGCCAAGTTTCTGCCACCTTATAACAAGCACCACTTTCCTCCCCATGTCCTATACATCTTCATCGTTTCCCTTAAAGCATCCCCCAAAGTTCCTTTAACAGTTGTGTACCAGGCTGCCATGCGAATATTCTGTTCCCGATAACATACGGGTTCTCTAGGACAATAGAAACTTTCTTGATGGCTCTCCTTGCTTCTTTCAGGGGCTCTCAGCAGAATCAGCTTTAACATCAACAGTCTCTTCAAGGCAATCTAGCCTTTTTCTATTGAGTGCCTAAAAATTCTTCTAGCCTCTACCCATCACCCAATTCCAGACCCCTCCCACATTTTTGGGTATCTGTTACAGTAGCAACCTGCTTCCAGGTACCAACATCTGTACTGGTTTTCTAGAGCTGCCATAACAAATTACCCCAAACCATGTGGCTTGAAACAACAGATGTGCATTCTCTCCCAGTCCTGGGGGCTAGAAGTCTGGAATTGGGGTGTTGGTGGGGTTGCTCTCTGAAGGCCCTAGGGCAGAATTCTTTAGCTTCTGGTGGTTGTCATCAACCCTTGGCATCTCTCAGCTTGCACCTGCACTATGACAGTCTCTGTGTTCATGTGGGCCCTTCCCGATGTGTCTGTGTCTCCAATGCCTCATTCCCCAGAAGGGCACCAGCCAGCAGGGTCAGGGCTCACCTTGACTCAGTGTGACCTCATCATAAGGTGATTGCATCTGTAATGCCCCTACTTTTGTTAGGCAGAAGAATAGATACGAGCCGGGTGGAGAGAGAACAGGGCCAGTGAAGCCCACTAAAAGGAACTCAAAGAATTAACCAGATAAAACTAGAGAGCCAGAAAAGACTCACAGAGTTAGGGAGTTAATTAGTTGATGCTCTAAAGGTCAGGAGTAACTTGAAATGTCCAAATAATCCCCAGATAAATAAAAGTATCTGAGTGGAGCCCATGTCTTTATTGTGTCAATTAAATCATGCCATTTTAAGATTTACTTCAGCCTGCTAAAAGGTCCAGCTTACTCTTTAACTTAACCTAACTTTTGTGCTGTTTTTTCCTCTTCTAGCTGCTAATCAAGTAATTTTCAACCTGGGAAGGA